ATCACAAGCAATACCAGTATATCCAGGATTACATGAACATTGGAAGTCTGTCCCATTGGATGTTTCTATACAAGTGCCATTTCTACAAGGGTTTTTAAAACAAGGTGTCACTTGTGAGCTGCACTCGTTTCCTGTGTATCCAGGCATGCAATTACAAGTGTACGAACTATTTTTCGTCTTCATACAAAYACCATGATGACACTCTGTGCACCTACGTTTCTCATCACAATTCTTTCCACTGTATCCCTTATCGCACAAACACGCGTAAKTATTGTTGAAGTAATTAACACAAGTGCCGTGAATGCAAGAACCTTGCGAGCAGTTCCCTTCATTGCAGTTTGGTATCACTGTCCATGCATGATGACTTTGTTCTGGTTGACATTGATGACAAGGAGAAAAAGACAGCGCATCACCCTTTTTATAACATATCTTRTTGATAAGGCAAGTCGTATTCTGTAACAAAGAATTTAAGTGTTGTTAGGGCATTTCATTTATCTTATMTATGGTAAAAGTGAAGCATCTTTTTTTTTTTTAAATTAGGAGTTCCTTCAGTTGAAGTTAGCTCTTAATTGTCAACGATGAGCCATCCCTTCCATCAGCGTTGAAGGGTTTTGATTTAAGATTCTAAGATATATTTATATGGGATAAGCAGATGTCGAGTCTAGTGGCACTCTTAACTAACTAAGCTTAACACTATACAAACGAAGCTTAGCAACGAATAAATAAAGCCTTGTCTTTCAAAAGTTAGGAAAAAATTAGAAAGAGCTCACCCTCGTTAACTCTAATTTTAAAAACAATACAAAACTGTTGGAGAACTCTTACTAACCTTAATGAAGCATATTCGGTTTTCAGCTTTACATTCAATGCAGGCCCCATCGTAAACAATAAAACTGGTAGGTTTACTCCACAAGCGACCGTCATTTGATACTCGCACTTGGTAGCCCCTCAGGGCTTGGTATTTGTCCTCCATACTTCTAAGAATACTAGGAATGGAACAAAACACTCCACGGTAACTTTGGAAGGAGGCCTTTGAGAGAAATGTCTCCTTKTGAAATCCAGCTCTTCTGGTGTTTCTAAACTTAACAAAAAGAAGCAAGAGGACTTATCTGTAGTTGTTTACACTGAGAATCTAGAGAGCAACCAATGACAACTTATAAATATTAAATAGGCGCTTTTCAGGATTGCATTATTTTGTTGCCACTACTAGAAATGCTTATTGCCTGGTGAGAAAAGCAAGTAGTTTAAGTATATGATGCCAACCTACGGCCAATATTCAATTCCACCAGGACCTTATGTCTGATAAGATTCATACTTACTGTCATAGCGCGAAAGGAACATTCGAGTTTCCCTTCATTATAGAATCCTTTCCCGGAAACCAGAAATCTGGAGCAGAAAAAATGCCTAGAATCGCAACTCCTTTTGTGATGATCGTTAAATACTTCTGGGGGTTTCTTGAGAGRTATGGAACAGTCTTCTGCAGCGGACCCTGAAGAAAACCAAAGACACCTAATTTGAGGTATGTTTACATATATAACATATTAGATTAATCAGTATAAGTATTTGAGTTTTTTTTTTTTTTTTCTTTTCTTTTCTTTTTTTGAGACTTTCAAGAGAGATCGAATTACGCAAATACTTTTAAAGTATTTGACTTGTWGAGTTTAGTCTTGCTGCATTCCTAAGAAAGTACTTGCAAAATGCGACGTGTACAACCAATACAATCAATACAAAAGATAAATTTAATATATATATGTATATTGGCATATAGTTTAACCAAAAAAAAAATTACGAGAATTTGTAACATATTTCACTTCTCGTAATTTTGTTTTTTCAAGAAAAACTAGCAGTTACCTTGTTCACACACACATGTTCCCTTTTGACATCTACCATGGCCACTGCATTGATTAGGACAAAAGGCTTCAAGAATACGGGATGGAGGGGAAGGCATCCCAWAGTTATTCATTTGCCACTGACTGGCATTTTTGATAACTGCTTCTTCGCAGATGTTTTCCATGACGTTGAGAGAGGTTTGACCAAAAGAGGAAACCCCTGTATTCTAAGTTAAGGTTAATAAACTTGGAGTCACAATGGCGTACCAATAGTTATCGAATTTTCTTTGGAATATTTTGCCTACTGTTTTGCAATTCATTTCTTSACGCAGAAAATCAATCGAGTCATACGACTTTGAATTAACCACAGCGGTCATGTTGATTGTGATAGCGCCGTCTCTCTCGTTTTTCACTGAAAAACGGTGAACTCGAAGCCCGCTGTGATTAGTCCAAAAGATTTGGCGAACTCAGTACCATGACATTGCTTTGTGCCGTGCCATTTTAGTTTCTAATTTATCAGRCGAAATAAAGACTTCCGCTACATCTTAAAGATAGTATAYTAAGCGTGTAGGAAAGWTTTTTTACGTACCTTTATATCTTGAAAACAAATAGTCAAGAGCATCTCCATGACAGGCTTTCCTATGATTTTCCCACAAACATTGAATAAGACTGTTAGTTCTATGTTCCTCTTACAAAAACTTGTGATTGAAAGATAATCTATGAATGAAATGTCTTGGGAATACTTTCTTTCCATTCTGTGGTGAGTCGTTCTGCTATGTGAGAAGTATGCTAGATCATAGATTTGTATAGGCATGCGCAATTGTGACCTCTGGAGTGCCTGTTGACTTAGAATCCTCGTTKTTATTGGCCATTCAAAAGTCAGACTAGGTCGTTTGATATGGCTTTTTTCCTGGCAGGTTGAAATACAGTTCATAGTGTTTTSATCACAGCTACTCTTTCCCTCCATGACTTTGCTTATACTACAATAACACGATGTCGAAGGAGAACCAACTTTTGGTATGTCCATTGATTCGGGGACATATTCAAATAAACTCTCCTTATACTCAATTCTGAAAGAAAAAATGAAACCAGAAATGGTTGAAGATAAGATGAAGAACTTTTGCCGGACCACAAAAGGGACACCGTAACACTCCAACGTTTACCAAAAATCAAAGKTGTAATAGTGGCGATCGCAATCAGTTACTCTGTAAGAGAGATCTAGTATTAATCGATTTACCTCCAAGCAGCAGTTTCATTTCTTGGTAACTCATWAGGAAATTGCTTTCTTTTGTTTCTGCTGATATCTGGAGTGATCACTGCACATAGTCCTGCAGTTCGTCTATAGTCTTGTCCAGGTGATTGCACATAAATGTTGATGCCCCACTCGAAAACATCAACACGTACATTGGAACCCGATGGAAAGTAAATCTGTAAAACAAATCCAAAACAGTWAATATAAACATGGCCTTGAACATGGGTGTTAAAAGTGTCCCTGTTTGCCCGTGGTCGAAGTACAGTGTCTTAATGGTGTCAATAGACCTCTCGCAAAGTTTCGGAATGCAGCTCAATTTGGACAAGATAAGAATAGRTTTTCCAGTTCTCAGGAGAAAACAATTTTGTTTTGGCCTCCAAATCGAACTCTTTTGATGTCACATGCAAGGGGCTTATAGAATCATTATTTTCTTTAGCTATTTTCGTCATGATAAATAAGCTTTTTATGGTAATAGAGAATGCAAYATGCAAGCATCCGGCCGTTTAATTGCATAAATTGCAGCAAAAAGCGGAAAATCGCACATCATTAATTAATTCATTTTGCCAAATTCAATTACAGCTTTCATTTTAATTCTACCAAGTTAAATTACCGCTATTGTAAAAGATGACTGAACAGTGTAGAGATGACTGTTCAAAATAAATGATACTTACAGTAAAGCGTTTTCCATGGTTGGCTTCTGTAATTTCAATTCCTTCTCTTAACGGTAGAAAAGAACGTACATGCATATGCAAAGTGCTTTCCATGAACTCGCCATCACACATATCCATGACAACCACGTCATTCAATTCACGTATTGCAACTCCACAAGTACAGAATAATGGCTTTTCTTGTGACGTGTTGCAAAGCCACATTTGGACATGAACCTGTTAAAGGATAACGGTGTTGACAYATATGAATTCATCTGTAATGTAAAATATGCATTAAACAACTCGAGCTCTTAGAGCATGTTTACATCTGGTTTCTCAACACTGTGCTCGAAGGTACACTTCTTGCTTGGCACTAACGTGAACGCTTTTAGTTACCTCAAATTTGCGGTCAAGACTTTTGTAGAGAACAAACGGTCCAGAATCAGAAAGATGGTAAAACCTGGAAAATGAAAAAGCTTTGATAAAAAGATGGGAACCAAAAAACAACATTCGAAATCGAACAACAATAATTGGGGAAGAATGGGGTGCCTCGCGTTGCTAATGTGCCGCAAGTGTTTGCAAATAAATCTAATCGATTCCTGGAAAGCTGGTTCTGCCGTCTGCTTCGAAATCTATTTTTCCTTTTTTGACAAAAATAAGATACCAAGAGATACTGGAACGCGGAGGGCAACAGGATTGGCAGTTATAGGTTAATGAATCTTTATTGAGTTTAATAATATTTTATTAATTATTTTTTATTAATATTTTATTAATAGAATCAGCTGTGAAATCATTAAGCAGTTTAAGGCAAAAAAGAAAAACAACAAAACATAATATGATAATGATAAACTAAGTAGAAACAAAACTCACTTGCCATTAAGTGTTTTTAAGTACGAATTGGAAAACATCTGRCATCTTGAAGTTGGAAGATCTTGACTCAGGACCTGAAAAAAATCAAGCTCATGAAAACAATTAAATAAAGTACTGTCGTTTGTTTAAACGAGAAACGAGTAAGGGTGATTTGTGTTTACTACTATGTATTAAAGTTAACTATTATTTCAAGGGCGAAGGGAAATCGTTCCAAGGCGTTTTCGTTGCTTGAAAAACAAGTTGCTTGAGAAACAAGTGGTCTCTGCTCGTAAAACAATTCTCGCAAGTTCGGCTGTTTTAGAAATAAGACGACAATATCTATAAAAAATATTACATATTATCCAAATCGTGTTGAGTTTGAGTTCATTTATATGAATATTCTTCCATGTCTTTGGTTAATAAAGGTATCGGACAGACAGGTGGCATGACGAGAGCTGCCTAGTCCCGCCACAGAGTGGCATGGGTTCGAGCAGCAGAACCCGTCACCAAAATTCAAGTAAAGCTTTAAATAGGCAGGATTCCGTACTCAGAGCAGTGAAATATATGAGATRAAATATTTCTGGTGTATCACACAGCCTTTCTCAGTCAGGATGTGTCCACACGACTCAAGCCACATGCCTTTGCCCAAGTTGGGTAAAGTTGATTATGGGTTCCTTCCTGTGCTCTTAGTGTTTTTTTCCTGTTCCTACTTTCCTCTTCCTCGGCATTCGCAAAAACCGAATCTAAATTCCACTTGGGTCGAAATAGTCCTGAACCTCTGATAGACGACGCAATTAATATGAACATTACAATACTTACGAACACATCAGGCGGGTCATGTAGCTGCCACACAGRAACTTTTCCTTCAACCGGAGCTGTAATGATTCGAAAGCTACGATCACCGTCTCTYATGAAGTCAGATATAGCTTTAACTTGAACAACGTGTCTTCCACAGTGTCCATYCTGACATGGAATGGAAGGGAAGACCACCTCACACGAGGAAAGAACGATATCATTCATGTTTCCCAATGGATCATCTGATGTCACATCTGAAGAAGTGAAAAGCTAGGTTACCGTTCAATACGCCTAATAGGGACCTTAAGCTGCAGGACGGCAACGTAGTCGACAACGTCGGCGAAATTGAGGCGCTTCAACCTTCTATTGTATTATTATTTCGTGTTTACCTAGGATCGTACTCAATAAGCATCCCGTTTTAGAGTGAAATGACGTCTGTTGGGAGGGCTTTACTTATAACGAAAATCAGCAAAGATAAGCTTTTGGCGTAGCCGTTCTCTTTATTACGTAAAAATAGGACATTTCATGTCTTACTTTCAGCATAAGGCGGCAATGTTTCACACAGTATTTCGTACATTCCAACGAGTATCTATTGAATAKCTCAATTAGTGCTATTTTACGGTTGCCGTCGTCGTCGTCGTTGCCGTCCTGCAGCTTAAGGTCCCTAATATCTACCGGCACCGTACTTACCAACAGGAAGTGTGTATAGAGGTATTCGTAGAGAACAGTTCGAATAGTCATCAGGACACACAACAGGAACAGTCGTAGTAAAAGTTAATTCCCATTCCTTTTGATCTTCTTGGATTATAAGATAATTAGGCTCTACCTGATTGATTGATAAATAAAATAATCTTTCAAYGCTGTAAGTCCAACGGGTCGGGTCGCTGGTTCGAGCCGTGCGGTCGGCACATGAGAATTGAGTTTGTTTGATGTGTTGTTCTCTCCTATGCTACGAGGGTTTGAGAGGTTCGAACCGTGCGGTCGCCACATGAGAATTGAATTTGTTTGATGTGTTGTTCTCTCCTATGCTACGAGGGTTTCTCCGGGTTCTCCAGTTTCCTCCCTCCGTAAAAATCAACATGTGAGTTGAACGTTGTATGCATAGAATATTGTGCGTCAGTGTCAGTGCGTGTGAGCGATAAGTGTCCCCAATTAGTGCGAAAGCGCTAAAACGATTAGACACTAATAGAATGAAATAAAATAAATTAAATTTAAAAAAAATATATTTAAAAATGTAAATTTAGCTCACGCTAGTTTTTAGCTAGTTATCTCTTAAAAATGTAAATTGTTTTATTACTTATAAAAAATGGGGGAACACCGAGTGGCGTACGTCGCTGATCGCGAGCTATGAGGCATTGGGTCGCGAGATCGATGCTCGAAGGCGCCAAAGCAAAGGAAAAAGCACACCCTAAGCGAAGGCGCTAGCGAAGCCTATCCTCGTCGATCCGCTCGCATCGCCCTCCAAAGGAGCTGAACCTACTCCATCGCCTACTCCATCTCGACCCGACTCAGCTAACTCGGCACATACAGCTCAGCTAGCCTATCCCTCAATCGAATTCACCTCATCCACGATCGCATCCAGCTTGGCTAATCTATCCTTTAATTAAAATTCATATTTTTTATGATATTTTTGATCAAGCATTGATCTTCTCAATCAAGCGATGAAATAAAGCTATTAGTGTAAGTAGTACAGGCGCGGTGGAATGGATCACGATGGCGTGTCAAAATATTTTATTCTAGTTCTCTTCTAGTCTCGCTAGCTCATTGAGAAAGTATTTTTCAGTTTAGCTGAAAGTTTTTTATTACGGTAAGAACGTACCTTGATTCCGATGTAGAATTCTTCACTTGATTTACCTGGACTGATGAACCGAGGGGTTTCCGTGTAAAATGCGCTGACTTCACAAGACACCTGAAGACAAAAGTATAGGTGTATAAAATCGAATGTTTCAAGTTTGGACTATCACGGTGATATTCTACACGCTGATTGGCTACAAGCTACATAATTCAAGATGGCGGCCGCTTCTGCACATGAAATGTTGCGTGACAAGTTGGACGAGTGATGGAAAACGAGCAACAAATCTACGTTGATCTACGTTCTAATTTTCGCAACAAGTTTTCCCAACCTGCAACAAAAGATTTTGTTGCGTGACACGCTGGATAGATAGGGTGTAAAACAATCAACATTGTTTTCGAACTTGCACCGCAACAATATTGCGCGACAAGTTGGACGTTTTTGTGTCTCGTATTTCAGCGCCTTAAGCAAATCACGCAACTATTTTGGGGTGGTTTCGGAGGGAGGTGGAGTGGGGGACTGTTGTTTACCTACCGTATCGCCCATGTTAAAGTCTGCATTATCATAATCGATAACCACGTGACTCTCAGTTGTCTTCTGTCGTAGTAAGACTAATCGTCCGGAGTTTCCACCAATAAAATGCATCACCTTGAACCACGTGACAATGAACTGAATAGGATATTGCCCTGTGTCTTCCACTTCAAAGGTACACTTCAAATTGACAGACGAGCTGGCTTTGAGTTTGTCTGAGGGAATGACTGGTGTGATAGATGGTAGTGTAGCGAGGGTTGGATATGCTCCGCGTACTAAATRAAAAGATTAAGATGAAGGAAATAAGTGACATGTATTGCATCACATGCATTTACTTTTGGACATGAAACACGGCCATAATAAATTAACAGACCGCTTTGCAGTACGTCGGAATGCACCACAATTTGGAGGACATAACAATACGTTTCCAATTCTCATGAGAAGGAAATTCTTTCGTTTTGTCCTCCAGGTCAAGCTACATTGACGTCACATGCAAGGTGTCTACAGGCAAAATGCCCTTCTTCACATAAATTTGTATTCGGATATGAGCGTCATACTAATCATTTCAAACCAACGATCCAATGATATACGAATTGATAATGTGACTTGTACCTTTGCAGTTGGGAGCATATCCTATCTTGAACGGCCCACAAGGAATACGAACTCCTGAAATAGGGATACGTGGTCAACATATCATTGATAGAATAAGATCATATTCGTTAAGGCCTTCGTCAAATAATACATGATGTAGGGTATAATATGGTAATGACGTCATCAGCAGGATATCACAAGTACTTTATTAGAGCTAYCAWTTTCTTTCATCAGATYTAATGGAATAACTACACARATAAGTCACGTGACCACCACAGAGACTCACACCACGTGGTTACCTGTTGCGCAATAGCTGACRTGACATTCMTCTGTTTCTTTCAAATGATAAACCAGGAATTCTCCRCAGTGAGTGACATTGACAGGCATCTCCCACAAGCAGCAGATGCGGTTGTTTCCAGATGTCTTCCATGCCACGCACACTGTCCCTGAYTTATCTTGACCGAACTCTGGCTTTGATGCAGGCTTCATCCAGATTTGAAACTGTGTTCCACACGTGTTTACAGGTGGGCATTCTGTAGGCAGCTCAGCAGGAAGTCCTTCTAACTCTAGTTTATACCAGGATCTGGACAGACGATTRTCGCACAAGGGATTGGTAGGGTCTAATGTGTTGATTACGTTACGCATTGGGTTATCGATYACCTTGTATYCAGACGGCTTACATTGTGGYTTATCTGGGTGGAAATTGAATCAGAACACTAATAAATACCAAGAAATACCAAGTACCAACGCTAATGAATTCCAAGTTTAATACTTGTTTCTGATTGGTTGATTGACAGTTATTTTTTTCTTAATCCGTACGCGCGTTAGCGTTACTAGCAATTTGGTATCTGTTTACTTCGATTCAGAAACGCGTATTTTATGTAGATGTGTTATCAAAAGGAAATACCACCTTAATTCTCGAATAATTCGTGGTATTAAGCTACATTTCTTCAAATGCGAGCTGTATTTTTCGTTAATTCTTCTCGGACGGTGGTATTTCCTATACAAATTAACTACGTTACGCATTCAGTTATCAATGACCTTGCATCCAGACRGCTCAATTACACAGTGGCTTATCAAGAGGGGCTGGGCGAGGGACTGAATCAAATTCCTGTTCCCTGTAGATCAGTACATGGCTAGATGCTTCACTTTGACGCCTTTTCACATATTAACTTGGTAAGTTAGGGAAGGTCAACTGATATTTGAGAAATATAACTGACGAGTTCGAATCTGAAATTGATCTGTTGCTCGCTCTCGTGTGTTAAGGTGGGAACTAGTGTGTGATTAACTTATTGGTTAATCCATCAATAGTTTATTTGCACCAAGGTAAAATTATTGTAATTACCTACTACGTTTTTAAAATGCATACGATATCTCAGAAAACGACGAGAATGTATACTTTATTTTTTTTGGTTTGAGTTCGGTTATAAAGAATAACATAGATTATCCCCCCCACTTAGCAAAGACAGTGCCACACAAAAAACTCTCGCTATAACAGAATTGATAAAATACCATAATAACATGCGTTGCGATAACCTAGGTACTCCATGACCCTGGAAAACACTATTTCCTTTCTTCACCTCATTCAAACACCGTTATGTACAAAGTGCATCCAGGTGCTATATAGATTAGCAAAGATAAGTGATTTTGGACGGGCATAAACCTTGAATACGAWCACATCCCGTGGTCCTATCTCAACAGAACTTCTAAATATATCCGGAAAAAATGCTTACTTAACTACTCGTATTTTAAAACTTTATTTCAAATGATCTTAACATTACCTAGTCTCCCCCGCAAACCACCGTTCTTACTGTATGCGGGGGAGACTAAACGTTATTAGACTGAGTAGGAATATTAAAATAACGGCATATTTTTCTTGTGTTTATTATCATATGTTAAAAGAATGGAGTAAGRCGATACTCAATCAGGTTAGATCAACATAGGCGTCCCTTATCACCGTAGGACTGCAAGAAAGTATTCGCGTGAGATTGCTTCGCGTGAAACTGCTTCGCGTTGATTGTCGAACCGGTAAAAATTAAAAAAAGACTAATTTATCGCATGCTGGGCAGGCCTACTAGTTAGGTGTAATCTTGTTTGACTCTAGCTAGTTAAMAACACGCAAAATGTCTTCTTATGATTCTTTTTTGTCCTTCTTCCTCCATCTCCATCCATCCATCCATTTTCCATTTTCCATCGGTAAATTGGTCATTTTCCAGCTCAAAAATATTTATTTAGTTTGATACTTACGTGATTTTGAAAGGGTGTGTCAGAAATATATATCAGGTCATTCCATTATCATAACKATATCCATCTGACGTCGGGTTAATCTCTTGCATTTGTCTCGCTAGACATTTTACCAACGCATCATCCAATTACCGTCGTCAGTATCATGAATATCTGTACATCAGCTGTGATGCGGTCAGTAATAAAGACTAAAAGAAAACAGATCTCGCATATCACGCTGAAATAACACTAGAAACATCGATACAAGAGCGCGCATACATATGCTATACTACCAAAACAAGTCGGATGACATCGACAGTGAAGCATATGTTAGATAATGAGTTTTATGTTTAAATATAAAATATATGCCTGCACAAGGGATGGGTGGGTCTGCTGTACAAGCTATACTTTAAATATGTAACAAAAGATTTCCAGCTGTATAGTGAACCACAGATAAGCTAATCATTGCGGCAAATTGATTTGTTAACGAGTATTTCGGTTGTACCTAATGTTTAGAACTGTCGAATGTAAAACGTAAAGAAAAAAGATCGAATGTTCGCTTGTGATTAACTGCGGTTATTTGCGACACTCGATGGCTGACCAGCTAGTGAGATATGGACAGAGAGAAATAGTTCAGAATCATTGACAAAACTATGGTATAAAACAAAATTGGATTTGACCTGATTTGATTAGATAAATTGGAAAAGGATCGATCAACAAGAATGGAACATCGATAAGCTTCTAAAACTGTTGCATTTCATAAAAATATCTAGAAGACTCTAGTCCAACACGTGAACTGACCAGAAAACCCACAGAATTGTGATTCCAWAATGTTTAGCTGGTATGAAATTAGAATACATCTAATGCACAGTGAATGATTAAGTTATTGTCTAAAGGATTCAATAACCCAGGTGAATGAGTGATTCCATGTAAGCTTACCTGTGATCTTAATACGATTAATTAGCCATTGTAGAATATCGGAGCCTAATCTWGTATACACAGCTTGCTTCTTGTCAAGTGCACAGCTTCGTCCCCAAGAAAATACCCCAAGAAGCTTGGAAATATTTTTGTCTTGAGCAACTAATGGGCTTCCACCATCAACACTRCAGGCTAGGCCCTCTGAGCATATCATGTTCGAGGTCACCACTCCGTTGTAGTTYGTCGTGTCGTTACAGATATTTGTGAATGTTAGTGATACAAGATCAGAATGTAGAACCGGGAAGGGGTTCCTGGTACCTGATTTGTGCCCCCATCCCGTCACTGTCAGCGTCCCATARTACCGGTCATAATTGGTGTCATTCAAGTCGGGTAAAACAAGTCCGCGTGACAACATGTTTATCTTGCTTACTTTCGACAAGATCGGCTCTCTTACTAAAAACAAGATGGCCAAATCACCATCTAAGGTCTTGTCATTGAATTTAGGGTAGATGATGACCTCAAGAACAGGAATCATATCTTCTCCGGCACTTTGAACATCTRCATGGTGGTTACCGATTCGTACTAARAGGGGTGTCTCAAGGTTGGYGAATCCATCATCGCTTCGAACTCTCATTACTCGGAATTTAGGCAGTGAATCTTGTTCTGAGTCCTGCGAAAAACACGAGGCGGCTGTAACAACCCAACGTCCATGAACCAACGCACCACTACAGCGTACAGTTGGTATAAACACATGCCATGGYGCTTGGTTTTCCTTGACTGGAAGACTTGGTCGATTGAGATAACGCTTAATAATTCTTGCGATTGGTTTGGAGTTAACACACTCGACCCTTCCATGTATTATCAGGTGAGCWGGGAAGATTAACAACACAAGGAGAAGTGGTATAGATGTCATGGCCTACGAAAACTACCCAAGAAGACTCAGCCTTAGTACRGCAACACGTGCTATATGGTGAGTTGCGATMCAATCGGTTGGTTAAGAATCGACTAACACATGCAGTGAAGTTAAGTACGGCATCCACGCTGAGTGGATAATTAACAGTACATCACGGAAAGTGCATATATATAGCGAACATCTTGAGTCATACTACCGGATGTTAGCCCTCATGTCATGTAACACTAAGGGACCGCTTTCTCAGTAACGACATACTCTGTTATCACTATATATGTCACGCAATCCTMAGGATCCGTTTTGTAATGGTTTCTTTCGACGCTTCCTAATCATGACTTGTATTCGTGCAAATTGAATTAAATCAATGATAATCTAGTGGAAGTTCACACTTTCTTGCCATAAAGTATTCATTTAGGGTTCGAAGCTCCACGCACAAGGGTTTGATTCATATTTAGTTGATTGTCCTACCAGTTTCGATTTTCTTACATTTACCATACCATGATTTACWTTAAAGCGTTAAAACAAAGACGTAAATGTAAAAACAAAAACCAAAAAATGAAAAAACAAAATACGAAAAGTCAAAAAGRAAATCCGAGAGCGTAGACTATGAGCCTTTGTGCTGCTTTCAGGAGGRCAAAAGTAAACTTTCAAAATTTCAAGCATTTTCACTTTCGTCTAGCTARTGAATTCATAAATGTTGAAAACTTTAAAACACTGATTCTTTTCTTTCCTTTATTCTTTTCTTCCCTTTTTCTCTTTTAGCCATTCAGAAATCTAATTTTCACTTTACTAAGCTTGAGGGYATAAGACGATCTACAGGGAATGTTGCAAACTTTGTTGTTTTCCGACAATTGGTTACTGAACATGAACTTTTTTTTAATGTGGTTAAATGTAATTTAGGCAAAGTTAGACTCGAGGTCAGTGACATCTCGCAGTAACGGTATCCCGACGCATACCCCTATCTTCCGCTGTCATCGCATTTATTACCTCACGCTATCGTTGATCGACTCAGCTAGCAAGTTGCTTATAGCATGTCGCAATCTATTCTAGTCGATCTCTGTGGCCTGTCTGAGATATGGATCATAGCTATCATTACGAAATACGATAAGACGCTACACACGTGATCACGCTAGYTTAATGCCAACCACGCGAACCTTTACTCGCCATCGYTATCGCTAGCACTCGCTATACGACGCTATTACGCTACAACACGAGTTTAATTTTCCCGCCCGCCATCCCTACCACTGGTACAGGTAAGTAGAGGTAAGTATTCCATTGACTGATCGCGGTCAATGTGACAGGTGTTCGGTGGGTGGTGACAGGGTGACAGGGTGACCATGGTTACCGCTAATTTGTGCCTGGCTCCGCCCATCCCACCGAATAAGCACCTAACGCCAAGCTCATCATTAACGGTAAGTTTAACAGTGCGGACAATTGAACCATGAACACTTCAAGGTTTTTTTGACATTTTTTACKAACTATCCAATCACAGCTCTCTGTAGAAACAAAGGAATCTAACATTTTTAGGCGCCATCCAATCACAACAAACGCAAATCGCAAAAATCTTTAGTTGTATTATTTTTATCTCACTCCGTGTGAACTAATGAACTGCTAGTCTGTCGCACAAAGTGCAAACTTTCAGTAATTTACAGAATTAAAACAAAAATATGGYTCATTGACGAAGTAGCTGTTATGAAATAATTGATACACTTTATATCGTAGGGAAAGAAGAAAGGAATATATCAAACCTTTATTTCAACATTAGTCATTTTATGATCAATAACAGGTCGACAGGCAACTAAGCTGACATCAACGAACGGGTGCTATTTCTGCTGGTTTTTTTGATCACTAAAAAACGTCGGAAAAATTCATGTTAGTGAATTTTGTGTGGTAAAAAAAATCGAGTTCCCTTTTATATGGTCTGAACTCTTATCGAACATGAAAGGATGGCGTCAACATATGATCCAAACTCTACAATTGCAGTGAGCCTACTCGCTGTGCTTGTGGTTCCACTTGAGTTTGGATCATATGTTCGGACGCCATTCCATGTTCGATAAGAGTACAGACCATAGAAAAAGGACCTCGATTTGCTTATTAGTAAGAAGCGTTTGATAGAAATATAGTTTAAATATATATATATATATATATAATTTAAAGATTCACCCTAAGGTAGGTGTGATTAGTCTCCTTCGCATCCGTTTTTAGTGTCGGTCGTCACGCAACACTCCCTCCCCACAAACGGCTGCTTGCATTCGAGCTACATTCCTTTCTCATTGTTTGAAGGGARCGTTGCGTGACGACCCACACTAAAAACGGTTGCGAGGGAGACTACCCAAGWTCCCAACCCCTAAAATATAATTGAATTAACTATTTAAAAAAACCAACCCACCGAAAAAGACAAATACATATATAAGTATAATAAAAGCTACAAGAAATCAACATGARCAAATAGTAAATGCATTAACTTTACGACATTTTACGTCAATTATTATGAACTGTACAACCAATCTAATAAAACACATATAATGATGGCCAGGAATTTTATGCGATATTCTTAATATATGGAGTTTCACATCTTAGGCATAAATAAACTTATTCCCATACGGATTGTTAGATCTGAAAAGCCTATAATGAGTTTTTAGTGTAGTTCTCTTTGTCTTAGGTTTGTTTATAAGTGTTCYATAGCTTTTGTTTCACYCGTTTCAGTCTAAGTATTTTCGTCATTKTTTYGTCATTTAGTCTTGTCCCTTAGGAGCTTTTGTACGCCTTATGTACGCCCTCTATGTAAATACTTAGTTAGTTGGTGCTCGCAGTTCGTCCCTTCATACACAAATGTAAGTTATTCGTTTCCATAGTTCTTATCGTTTTACAGTTTAATGTTTCGTAGTTTTTCCTATTTGTCATACTTACTRAGTTATTTATSTATTTAATATATTTRTCTAGTCTTTACCGTACGCTTTGCGTATGTGTATGGAATAAAAATCAAGTATGGGACTCRCAGTGCCAACACGGATATTTTATWTCGAACTGTTTACCGCCGACTTTCTTCAGATTATTATTTTCACTGAAGTTTCATGTTTACAACGGAATATCAAAGTTGCATACGTGAGAAACAGAGAATTCCATATACTCCGTGGTCAGTGATATCTATTACTTCAAWGTCTGATTAAAAACGAAATTCTCTCAAAAACCTTGAATCTGAATCCATAAATCGCAGTTTATTATTATTAATATTTTATTGTGCTAAACATTGAAATTATATTTTTGATGAACTTTTATGGAATGTTTGTCTCATTCACTTTCACTGGTGGCCTTTCTGAACTCACATTATATTCATTAATTATTWTACGAAAGGAACACCTAAAATCTAGTAACTCGTTGTCTTTTTTGGAGTTGAATAAAATCATTGTATTATCCAGACTTTATAGTAGTGGAGTAAAAATATACTCTAAGTAGTATACACAGTAGAATAAATTTAACAAGACAATCTTTTGTCATTACCGATATTCATCCTTTATTATGTGTTTTTCACAAGCAATTTATTAAACGGGCTTCCTGTGGAATGCCCGAAGTTACACTGTTATTTCTTTWGATTACCCAAAAGCCCAATCCCCTTTTAGCGCTTTTTGATAACGGCTTCTAAGTTTAATTTAAATTATTTTATTTTATTTAGATTGGGATACCATTGTGAATAATTATTGTCCTGGACTGACTAGCATCGTTTTCACATGTATTGTAGACTACTCAGTCCAGGACATAGCTATGCAAATTGGTTGCCATTTTGCCATTTGGTGTATAGACTTAGTAATTTTTTTTTTCTTTTCCGGTGAGCAGTTGGTATCCAACGTGAGAGAAAGTGGAAGCTCACACTTTCTCACCAAAGTACTATTTCAGGGTTCGGAGCTCCACGCACAAAAGTAGYGGGGTTTGAGTCATCTTTAGGTGATTGTACTGGTCTAGCAGTTTCGCTATTCTTGCATTGATCATGCCAGGATTTACTTTTCGTACGTGGAAATAGTTTCCGAAAGTAGTGGTTCAAGAACGYCATTCTTATTGGATAGTACTTGCTGGTCATGGCAGGGGTTTTCTGGAATTTCAGGAAAGTTTTGTTGCATGTTTCGAAAGCATCCCACTCCACTCCCTTTACGGGGCTAGGACTATTAGGGTTACCAGATTTAGCGAAATTTGTGAATAGAGTCACCATCTTCWTACTGACAGCTCTGTCATCATCATCAAAGCGCAGGTTCGTTTTGGGTGATTTTAGTAACGGTAAACCAAACTTGTAGGCAGTTGTATCTTCATGCGTCACTCCCTTCCATGGTTCTCTTGTAAGTTTACGAGAGCGATGGGCGAACTCAAACATGTAAGTTGTAGAACGATGATGACTATGGAAGGATAAGACATCATGGGTTGGCGCAATAACCATGTAGTCACTTAACATATCTATGTAATTCTTTTCATATGCTTCAGAACTTTCCAAGTCATCCCAAGGCGTGTACTGGGACGCAAGAGCGTCAAAAGCAATAGGCGCCTCCTGCTTGGAAAAATTTAAGATAGCCGGGGTAAAAAGCCTTTTATCCATGTTGTTTCTGTAGTCGGCAATATTGTTTATATTCGGTTTAGCAGTGAACATATTTGTTCCTTCGTTGCTGACAAAACCCGACATCAGTGGAAGCTTATGGAATTCCCCTTTTTCCAATAACTTTCTAGGTTCATCTAGTAGGAAGTAATTGTCAACGAATGGCTGTATACTATTTGGATCTTTGTTGATTTTAATGATATCGCTTCTGGATGAGTTTCGTAAGCAATGGAGGGTTAATTGTGAGTTTTGTCTTTCGCAGCCTAAACCTTTAATAAAAGTCTTGCTGGCTTTTAAAACACTAGCTTTTGGTTTGGAGGCAAAAGGAGTTAAGGCAACGCCGCTGACAGCTATTCCACGATGGAACAGATTCTTGGACAGAGATGATAAATAATGTAATGAGACACTCGATCCTCCTGCGCTTTCACCAAGGAGAGTGACGCTACTTTTATTTCCACAAAAACCATCAATATTGTCTCGAATCCATTTAAGGGCCTCTATTTGGTCGAGTAGACCCAAATTCCCCGGTGCTTCTGAGTCCCCCGTGCTAAAGAACCCAAACGCTCCGAGTCTGTACTGGATGGTAACAAGAACAACACCTTGTGTTGGAAGATACTCGCCTGGGGATATATCACGAATAGGGGTGCCTGAAAAATAGCTTCCTCCATGAATATGGACCATCACTGGATATTTCCTCGTGCACTTCGTACTTGGAGTATAGATGTTCAGAAAAAGACAATCTTCGCTCATATTTTCACTAACGTTAAACCCAGRCCAGGCCAATTTCATTGAATCAAGGTAAGCTTTATTATCCAATATTTGGAAACATATTGGTCGGTAGTATGTGGCGTCATAGTCGTTTGGCCTTTTGTTCATAAGAGGTAGTGGGACTTTGAAACGAAGACATCCTGTTGGCTTTTGAGCATATGGAATACCCAAGAACTTGTACACGGTCTTCGTTTGTCCATTGTGTAATTGAACAGCCTCTTCTTTCCCAAGTACATCACCTTGTTGTGTTGAGACTCTTATCGGTGTTACAGACGCGAGTAAAACATGATGATACAGGAGAGAAAGGAAGAGAAAGATGTACAACRCTGACATCGTTGTGTAGCCAATGTAAGTCCTGCTGACAGGTGATATTCTCTGATACTGTCTGGTGAATGTGTCTCAGTTTTATGTCCCACCAAACAACGTGTGAGGTGAGAACATGACAAACAAATAGCTCTCATCGTTAACTTTGACTAAACGACCTGTTCATTCATTTGTTTTACATGAACGAATCCTGAGTTTTTGTGAAGGTAATGCAAAATTTATGTCAACATTGCCGTCGTTGTTAGAAACCTGAGAGACTGGAAAAAAAAAAACATTTCGCGATTTTGTTTTCATTGCACATTGGTGACTCGGGGTGTAAGGATCATTGAAAAAAATATCCTTCATTTAAAGGAACACACTTACATCTATAAAGTAGCAATAAATTATGCGTTCGCTGTGTGTAATGAAATAGAGAGAATAAGAGAAAAATACCAAGTGCCCTTGACACTTACATCTATCTTTGAGATGAAATATGTACTTTTTTACTTTCGTTTTTCTACTTCTCAGTTTTCCATGTTCTTCGCTTTAGATTTCTCATAATCCTTTGTTAGTTTGAAATATGATCTGACATCAACATTATCAACATTCAAGAGACTTATAATAAAATAAAAACAGTCCAGCCTAGCTTGGCATATATTGCTGGTCTATATCGAAATTATGACATGATATTAATATTATATATATATATGCGTTCTTCCCCTTTCTTATATTTATCATTTTCCTTATGAATTTTCTCTTTTTATGTATATTATGATACATTATAGTTTTTCTTACATTTCTTTGTTTGTATATAGTATGTATTTTACGATACCGGCTTTTAGCTGATTGGGCCACCCTGTTTAAATAAAGATTCCATAATCATAACCATGACCTTTACACGTTCTTTCTAGCTTCTTTTTTTCAAGCCTATACCCGTAAATTTAAGGTAAAAAAGTCGGAACGATGGGACTCGAGCAAAGTGACACTTCAGCACCTGCTGAACTAAACGAACACAAAAAAAACAAACGAACGTCTTTTCTTTTCTTTTCCTTTCTTGTATTTCTTTCAAGCCTACCCGTTAACGGAGTGCAAAAAACAAAACTGAACAAAAACAAAACAAAACAAAAAAACCAATAACAACAACAACAACAAAGACAACAACGACAAACAAACAAACAAAAAACTGGAAAGTATAAACTGTAAGGCCTAAAGAAACACTTGATRAAAACTAAAGTAACACTTCTACACCTGCTTAGCTAGAAAAATTCCATTCTCGGTCACTCGTCCGTCAAGTTTGGCTAAGACACGCATTTCATCCTTGGTCACCCGTCCCTCAAGTTTGGCTAAGACACGCATTCCATCCTTGGTCACCCGTCCGTCAAGTTTGGCTAGTAAGACACGCATTCTATCAACAACAAGTATCTTTATTACCAATTTACATATATACATATATATATATATCAAATTAAGCTTTACAATAGTATTATTTAACCAAGATTCAGGTAATAGCTGTTCAGTATAGCAAGCTAATCGAGCTGAGCAGCCGTTAACTGTTTTTAACACATTGATAAGGTCCATCCTTGGTCACCCGTCCGTTAAGTTTTGGTTCTYCTTTTTTTCCCTAACGCTTTTCGTTCAATGACTGGTAGCATTTTTTGAAATAAGGAAACGCAAAGAAAAGTTTTAAACAAAACTTATATATAGTAGATCAACAACTGAAACTGTAAACATTTTTCACTGCATGATCAGCCACATCCTTAAACATAAACTCAATTTGTTTTTGAGTTCAACAGGAGAATGAGAAAGAAACTTTAGCACMGTGAAAACGTATAACCTTTCGAACGTTATTCTGTTGGATCCAGAAGAGCAAAAGAGCCAATTTTGAGAAGACAAAGGACTAACGTCCAATTAAATTTGCTAATTTAAAGAATCCTAGTCAACTACAATGCACTGCGCCCCTGTGTTATGTTTACTTCGTTCGCCTACATCGTTCTCGAAGCTCTTGCCTACACCGATGGACTACAATTTCTGCAAATTCACTATATCAATGTCCTCAAGTTCCTCAAATTTCCTTCCTTAAATTCCACAGCAAGTAGGTTGAATTTTTCAGAGCGATTCTCTTTGTCATCACAACACACATCACAACTTTCAAAAATCTACCTTATATTCKTTGCCAAAATTTCTCAAATCTCTTGAAAAGGTTTAAACCAAGAGTTCTAATTACACGTTGTAACAGTACAACAGTATATCTATAAAGAGCACTAAACTAATATAGCTGCATGAAGATGGTAGAGCATCGGTAGTACAATTCCGAAGGTCGTGGGTTCGATTCCCAGCGAGGTCGGAAATTAATTTTTCCGAATTTAACTTCCAAGGGCTTTCGCCCGGGATAACCTCGTTCCCAAGCACTATAACTTATCTATATTTCTATATCTTCATGTATTTCATAAGTGCTATGCGGTCTTGATATAGCTGCAGTTCTTTTATCAGCTTTTTCAGATTATTTTCGTTTACGAGGGCAGGCAATTCAAACATTTCTGATTGTTTGTTCCACATGTTTCGTCTGCAAGACATATATGATGCATATGATATGTTCTTGTTAGGGACATCGTCACTTCTCCATCTAGTTTTCTRCGTCAGTCAAACAATGCAAGCACATACACATCAACACACGTCGTCCCTTCATTATTTTCTTCGTTAGAATTAGTCAGGTCTTCACCGAACCAAATGCGATACTCCTGGCCAGCGGCTACCACCAGGGGGTTTGTAAAGTTCTTAAAAATGAGCTCTGCAGAATTATAATTGGAGTAGGGCAGAAGGTATCCTAGTGCGTTATGATAATCTATGAATTCATCTTGGGGAAGGATCCTGTGGTCGTTGCTGTTGGTTATGATGGTGTAAAGATGTTTATCGATAGCAGAACCCCATTTGCTTCGTTGTTCTTTCTCCCCACTAAGCGCCACGAACCCAGATACATATACAAGCTTGATTCCTTTAACTGTTCCACTTTGATTGATATAAAAACGGCCAAATGATGAGTATTTTGCTCCAAAGCAAACAGGACTCGCGTTAATCTTGTGCCATTTATCTACCAAGATGAGAAAATCATACATCAGTGGATGAATGGATGAATGGATGGATGGATGGATGGATGGATGGATGGATGGATGGATGGATGGATGGATGGATGGATGGATGGATGGATGGATGGATGGATGGATAGATGGATAGATGGATGGATGGTTGTTTAACTTATCATTACCATAGTACACTGTCACCAAAATAAATCACATGTTCAAATCATAACCAGACTTACATGTCTCATCACAAAGTTTACCCTTGAATCCMTTCGGGCAGTGGCACTGGAAGTCATCGTACTCAAGGACTTCACATGTTCCTCCATTTAGACACTTGTTGGCCACACATACTTCCTGGAATATTAGGACAAACATTTCAGTCAACATATTCCCTATTTCCAATTTTCCATGATAAATGGCGGCAAAAAGGCTGTGCAATTAACGTACAAGAATAAAGATGGAAGACAGTCTGCATTAAATATAGGAAGAGACAGTTATTAGAAAAATTGCTTTCATGTTCTTATTAGTTCAGCTTCGTAAATATTTTAAATCATGAATCAGTTAGTTTGGTTATCTTTAAGGGACCGTCGTAATTGTCCAGATCTGTAAAGTCTTGCCTCTCTTTTTCTTGTAATTTATCTTAATAAGATCCAGAATTCATCAATTCATCTGTTATTCGGCATCAAAATGTGATTTGTGAYTTTGATTTCAAATTTGTTTGGGTGGCCTTGGTTAATGTAGTCGCACTTTAATCTTGCAGCTCAACATGTACAACAATTAGACCAATATGTGTTATGACGTTATTGGTGTAATTGTTTTGGAGTAATATGAACAACGAAATGTATGTATGAATATATATTTGTACTGCGGTCGTAATGTATCAAATTGAAGTAATCCTCGCAGTATGTCAAGCAACTTATGGAGCTGCAAATTGAAAGAGTCAGAAAAAATTCTGAGTCTTGAAAGGGAACAACGAAATGTAGCCCAACATGTACAATATAGGGGAACAATTAGATGTTGTTGGTTAATTGTTTTGGAGTTTAATASTTATATATAACAACCAAATGCAGCCCCAACACGTACAATATAGGGATATATGGAACAAGTACTGAGACCAATAGTTGCAGTGGTGATGTTACGTTGYTGAGTGCGTAAAAGAGAGTGTGTAAAATATTCCAATATTTAATGAAGGTAAATTCCCTGYTAGCAGAGTCTCCCTCGTTGACGATTCTTGGCAGAGATAATAGGAGACTCTACCGGTCTAGGCCGTTTTATTCAGAATTTGTTTTAATCACAATACAGCGAATTTTATTTCACAGGAATGACGTATTTAGCCAAGAGTTATCTATCTTATTGCCCTCAGGGTTTGATGTGTGCATGCATGAGTTAGCCGTGTGAGCTAGATCTTTTAAAAGTATGAAATGCGGAGCGCGAAGCCRGGGGTACTTACCGTCACTCGAGTATAGTGATGATAGTCTTGAGAGGCTTTTATAAGGCCAGAATATTCGTTCCCCGTCCAATTTGTCAGCAGCTGACATTCGTACAAACCATCTTTGTCAGGCCTGTCAGCTATGTTCAGTGATAAACAAGAAGGTACACCACCACAACTCCAACMACACTGAAAAATATCCAGTACTGTAATGCTTTGAATGATGTCGCCATCGAGTCTGAAGAAAGGCATTTTGGCGAAGAAAGATTCGGAAGATTCAACGACGCTGGAACTTTTGAAAACGAGAAAAACTTGCAGTAAATAAAGAACCTTGAATTTAGTGAAACTTTTGCAGACCATTCTTATCTTCTTTCTTTCTCTGTGCTTTCAGTAACTTTGGAGGCACAACCACAGCGAGAACCAACACGACACTGGCCGAAATCGATCCGTCACTACAAGATGAAGCAGTATAAAAAAAAAAAAAAAAAAAAAAAAAAAAAAAATCTCATCCGTTTTTAATATAATCCCAAAGTACTTAGCAGGTCATATCTTTAATGAACGTTCTCTCAGGTTAATGTTGTGTTGATTATAATATCAATGGGCTTAAGCAGAAAAGACGTTGATATGAATGAGATCAAAGAAATAATTTCCTTTCATAGGGGCGGTATGTGGTACCAATAACCTGATATTTTCGAAAACAATTAATGCTCCCGCCAGTAAGTAAGCTGCGCCTACAATAACCGTAAATAATTTTTTTCTAAACGCTCTCCCGGGTAGAAGATTTAGTAAGTAAATAAGAAAATAAGTAAGTAAGAAAGTAAGTTTTCGTCCTTCCACGTGCTAAAATTTTTCCTCGGTGAAAGATTTCAAAGTAAAGTATTTACAATAATTTTATGCTATTTGCTTCAACAATCAAGCACAACCTTCAAGCACTGCCAAGTGCTTATTCGTAGAGGATTTTTCAGGCATTTTGACAGTCTCTCAAGAGWTTTTTTTTAGAAAGAACCACCTGTTATGGCTTATCGAATGAATTTTGTGTTGACATCTCAAAACCTCCATTCGTTCAAAGTAAAGCATCGCGTATTTTATAAACTGTGAGTAAGTTAATCTTATAATATTTTGTAACTACCGTATGTCCTATAACCTTATATGTTTTATTTATGCTTATTAAATTCTCAATTTCCTGTATGTTCGTGTTGATTTATTGCTCTGTTTTATCTAAAAAATAACACTTGAGTTGGTATTCTCTTCAGTGGCACTGCTCTTTAGGGCACTACTGAAAACCACGTTTAGTGAGTAGGTTTCCCTCATTAAAGATTATCAAAAGTGGTTTTTGTATACCAGATCGAATATAGCTTCATTAGTTACATAAACCCTTTTATTAAAAGAAAACCGAAGCCAAAATACACAAACAAAGATTGTTCTAGTTGATGTGGCAAAATACTTGGACGCTAGAGAAAATAATCACTTGTATCTGATGGTCTTTCAATAACAGCAAAACCTCTGWAAAAACATTTAAAGTGTGTAGACAGCTTCTTATTCAATATTCTCAGCATGGATTCTACATGAAGTGAATAGCTAGTTGAATTGCAAAATATCCAGCTAAATTGAGTGGTCTTTAAGTTATGAATAATATAGAACATTAATTTAAGTCTCGGCATGATTTTTTTTAGGAACGTGCTATAGTGCACAAAACCAAGCCATCTCTATAATGAATAATTAATGATATCCGCGATTAATGACAGAAACAAATATGGCGACATATTCAGGAATGAATGACAGCTTTTTTAACGTGGTYATAAAGATGGTGGATAGTTATGACATGACTACTGTTTAGCCCAACAGAACATATAAGTTAAACTGCTAGAGATCTTCGTTGTCAGTAGAAGTGAGGATTGTCATTTCTATCACTGATAAATGGTTATTAAAGCCACAAAAGCCAGTATTTCAAAATCATTATTGCTGTCATATATTAGTAATAGACTTCAGTCTTTGAATGACAGGACACCTGAATATAGATAACATAACACAACTGGAAAATAAACTACTCACGATGTAGGCTTGGCCGCTTGAAAGGTAATCATAACTAGATAAAAGAAAGAAAATACAGAAAACATCAAGAATATGTGAAAATATATGTAATTTATTTTCCGTCGAACAAGCAGGAAGTCTCWCGCGCCGAGTAAGAGGCTCGTTGTTCAAGCTATAATATGTAACTTGTAAATTTCACTTCTTCATATGCTATCTTTTCAAAACTTTTAAACTAAGGTGTATATTTATCTTTGTGTATTAAAAACCCACCATGATTAGCTATGCTTATTGCGGGCTAGCTCCTTACTGCAATTAGATTACTGTTTGTTAATATCATTTAATAATGACACGACATGCTTTCAACCGTAAGTTTGATTCCAAGATGAAAATATCGTGGGCGGATATTGGAGCSAGGTAAACTGAATAGAAACGAAGATATTCCAAACATATTCTCCGATTCTCATTGAACAAAGAAGCCACTTAAATCTCAAATAAAAAGGATAATTCTATTTACTATTAGGATGT